TACCTGTATCCCCTCGAAACAAATTAACTCGGCTGGCTAACCTACCAACACACGTGTTATCAACTTAGTTTTGTTATTTCAACGTTGTTAATTAAAACTTTGCAATAATTTTAAGAAAAAGTTAACAAACAATTAAATTAGTTTAAATTATCGTTTATTTTAAAGTATATTACATGTCTACATAGCCGTTTACATAATTCCATATTACTGGCATATAGNGATCGACGATTAGAGAAAGTCTTGAGAGTTGAGGAAAAAGGTTCCTAGTATATTGAGGTGACGATTAGGACCTTTAATTCATAAGAAGTATTGTTTATAAATTAAGTCTTTGAATTTTGTCAAATTCCAAAGGGGAATAGAATTAAGTTAGAAAATAGATTGATTTGAGTTTTGTCAGATTGATTCTTATTGATTTTCATTGAATAAATTGTTATTTGAATTTTTACTAAATATTGTATATAGTTTATTACTAGAACTTTTATTAAATATTGGGTTGTTTTTTGACTAACTTTGTCATTATTTAATTCGGTGCACGCTTAAAGTCCAGGCCTGGCACATTCATGCGAATTCGTGTAAAGTACCCATTAGGTAACGGCTATTTCCGGCACATAGTCGTGTCGATAATCGTTGTAGAGGGCGGAAAAATAAAATAGTACTTTACAACTATGTCGCTCTTGCTTTGTACAGTGTTGGAGAGGTGCTGCCATTTTATCGGTCTGTTGTCTTGTGTTCTTGCGCATCAATGGCGTTTCCAGTTGCAGTTAATATTGCCTCTGACTTGGAATTTTAGTTTGTCAGAATTACTACACTACAGTAGATCCCCCTATAAAACCGTTTCCTATAGTTATGATTCCTATAAAAATTGTGGCAGTATCCGTAAACAACGGTAAAAATAACTCCTATAATACGTAAAACGTCATCGGACAGCCGAACTACTTTCCCGCCGTCCGTAGCGCCACGCTACGGACGTTTAGGCGGATAAATTGAGTTTAGTATCGTCTGTTCATATAATTATATATAAATTAGGTACTGTACATATAATTATATATTAATTATATATANTTATCAACTTAGTTTTGTTATTTCAACGTTGTTAATTAAAACTTTGCAATAATTTTAAGAAAAAGTTAACAAACAATTAAATTAGTTTAAATTATCGTTTATTTTAAAGTATATTACATGTCTACATAGCCGTTTACATAATTCCATATTACTGGCATATAGTTTGCGGCTGCCATATTTCCGCGATTGCTTTTAATATGTTTTCAAAAGCATTTCCTTGTCCCAATGACTTTTTCCACATAAACTCTGCAAGGTAAGACTCCAGATGATGGCGAGCCGTGCCTCGTTGTTTTTTGTTGCGCCACTTAGCGGAGCCCCACAGTCTTCCAATGTTTTGAGTGTGAGCACCCGTTGTTGGATCAACGAAATTATATTTATGGTTTACAGTAAAATGACTGTAACCTGCTCTTTCTAATTCATCCGTCCTGTAAGCTCGCCAACAGTCAGAATAAATTGTTGATTCTTGTTCAATGTGCTCCACGATTTTTGTCATTAGTGTGGTTGCTTCTCTATTAGGAACTGGAACGAGAAAACAATCACCAGTTTTTCGGCATATTCCGCCGAATATCCACTGTTGTGGAAGAACCCATCCAGCGTTGCTTTTTCGCCTTGTGAAAAGCGTTTCGTCGATTTCCACGATTTTTCCGGGACCGCCTATTCGCCTGTTCGGTTGTTTCAACAAATGTAAAAAACATACCTCCCTCAAAAAACTATTCCAGTCTATAGTTGTTTTGTTGCAAATATTTAGATGTTTTCGACACCACTTTATAGACGTAACTTCCTCCGTCCAATGGTAAATAAATCTTACCGCCGTTAAAAATGGTATCCGTGATCCGCTAAACCAATTATTAGAACGGATGCTTATCATTACATCACAGCTACTTATGGTGCATCTCCAAACGCCTTTAGATATATTTAATTTCATTTCATGCCCATTTTTACATATTCGAGCACTATGTAAAATACCTTTTTCTTGAAAAAATAATACAGATTCTTCTTCGGTGCGTGGCAAATCGTATAATGAAGACATTTTTTTCTTTCTCACAAAGGTTTGGAAAACACGTGTCTGTTGAAAGGTCAACTGGCCGAGTTAATTTGTTTCGAGGGGATACAAGTACTAGTTGAGATGTTGGTCGCCAGGGCGGCGCCACCATCTGGGATAAAGATTCACAAGTACCATAAAAACATCTATTTACTGCCAAAATAAAGTTAAAAAAAATAGAAATATAGAATAAAAATGAATGTTTTGAAAGGTTCTAAATTGAAAGGAAAGGTGTTATGATTTCATGAACAGTACTAGGAAAATGGTGTTGGATATCTTGGTACTGGAACAAGTAAAAAGGTACTAGATTAGTACAAAAGTACTAGGTGGAACAACACTGGTGCTGCCTTTGTAGCCCTGATTCTGTTACCCGGTGTTGCCACTAGAGGCGCCTCAATCTAGTTTCACCATTCCTTCCACTAGCTCTATAAAATAAAATCAGGACTATTTACTGATTGCACCATTCCAGCTGCCCTTGCTTAAGCTTGTTTTTGTTGTGGAGTGGCACATTGTACGGAGGACACTTAAGAAGTGTCGTGTGACATTTCTCAGTGCTGTCAGGTCATGAGTTAATAACAATAATAAATGTAAATTGGTAAGATTTTACCCACGTGCACTGTTATGGTGGCAGTTGTGATGGACTCCTCCTGGAGGGAAGCTGCCAGCAGGTCGTTGATTGTTTAACGTCACTAGTTATTGATTCATGGTAGTTCTTGAACACATGTATCGATAACTAGTGATGTTAAACAATCAGCTGCCTGCTGGCAGCTCCCGTCCAGGAGGAGTCCGTTGCGACTGCCACTATGGCGATGCATATAGATAAAATTCAAGGTGCTAGACTACTTTGTGTAAAATTTTACCAATTTTGCACCAAGAAATGTCATGTAACACTCTTCGTATGCATCTGCCATACAATATGCCACTCCACAACGAAAACAAGCTTAAGCAATGGCGACTGGAACAGTGCAGAGTTGGTAAGTAGTCCTGTGGTGTTTTTTTTTTTTTTTTGTTTTATAGCATTTTTTTAAATTTCCCCTCATATTATGTGTGTTTTGGACATGTCTAGCATGTATGAATCCTTTCTTTCAGTTAGTTATATTTATGAGCTTCTTTGAATTCTGATTTCTGAATAATCTGTTTTTTCATGTTGAAATATTAATCATGACGAAGACTATATTTAGCTCCCGTATCGTTTTTTGTTCATAACAGTTTTTTAAACGAGCGGCCTTCAAATATTCTGTGTTTTGAGCATGTCTAGCATGTATGTCTATTGTAAATAAAATGAAGAGAAAATGTTGGTGTATGGCTTAACAATTACCGTTAGGGTAGTCATGTTATTTAGTTTTAGAAAACTAAAACTGATCTGATAGTGTTACCAAGTTGGTAGATTTCTGCTAAATTTATTGAAAAATTGTATTTTATTTTTGTGGGAAATTTCATGGGGATGATTTTTAGATTTATACAGTATTGTGTTATAAGATGCTATATCTTTTTGGTTTGGACAAGCTTAACAATCTCATTGTATTCAAGTTTGAGCTTGATATTTTGCCAGGTATAGTGGGAAGTGTCTAAATTTGCTGGGACTGGAATTTGAATTAGTGGGAAGCTTATGTGAGTGCAATATGCCAGTAATGTGAGAGTTGACAAGTGTCAAACTAATGAACAGTCAGATTATCCAGATTGCATTGTGTACTAAAAGAACGTGTGCCAAGTAATATTTTTACAATTAATTCTTTTAGGTGATTGGCAAATATAGCTCTAAGGATAAAACAATCCTATTGCAATGTCCAAACTAGTTTTGAGGTTGGTTCTCATTTAAGATGGCTTACCATGACAAGCTGCAGTGTTGGTCTCATTACTGCAGCATGCTGCTGAATGACATAACCATGTGGTGTGTGTTGATGGTTGGATTGGTGTTCACTGACATCAGTGTAAATCAGCGATTCCCAACCCGGGGCATGTGATAAGTTGTTTAGGGGTACAGAAAGAAGTTAGTTATTATGGCTGAAAAAATAATATATTATGTATCACAATTTAATAGTATTAAAATATTATTAGGTAAAAAATGTTTGTTGCAATAATCACAAACTTTATTATACATTTCAAAATGCAAAAATAGAAATAAAAACTTATGCTGCCGATTGTACAATGTTGCGCAGTCAATGATAGTAGTGGGGCTAGGGGATACCATTATGTGTGATTAGTGATTATGCTATGGACTTTTGATGGTGGGGTATGTTACTGTTATTATCATCTCTCAACAATATCCCCACGTGTTGTTTGAAAAAAAATTTTTTTATTGTTACTGTAGGAAGGAAAAGGACATAGCTAGTTTCTCCAGATTTTCTCTATAAGTGGTAATTTTTTTCATTATTTAGTATTTTTATTAATTTTTTATTGACAAGACTGTCTTGTCAATAAAATTGTACTTCCTGCCGTGTGTTACCAGCTTAGAAGTATGAAGGAGTACATGTCAGAAGTTGTAATTTGGCACAGAGTATTAGGTGCCCAAATTATGCGTGCATAAAACAAACTTGTAGGTACTTGGGACCGAGTCAAAATAAAATTCAGTGGCGACACACTCTACAAACAGGCAGTGCGAGATTTGTGCATGCGTTGCTGGTTGGGAAGTTCGAAATGCCACGGGGGTACGCTAATGAAAAAAAAAATTGGGAACCACTAGTGTAAATGATTATTTTGCATTGGTCAATACATAATTTTTTTATTTGCTGTTGTACACAGCACTTCTCCATACATGATCTGTGACAGCTACTACGTGGCTTTGCCATTTACTATCACAGGTTCCATCTTACTGAGAACCAGCCTTTACAATATTGTAACTAAGAACTGTAAATCAAGAAATGCCTTTTTCTAAAACTGAAATTCATTCTTTCAGATATGAAGCACAGTGTAAAGACCATGTATGGACTCAAAATGGTAAGCTTATACAATTTACCATGTCATTTAAATAATTGATATTGTGATGATTATTTTTTAACCATCTTTCGCCTGATTACTATTTGATGAGAAATTTTTCCTGATTTTTAATTAATAATTATCTGTAGCTTTGTATTTGGTGGTTTATTATAGAAATTTATTTTTATTTTCAGAAAAAAAATTTAAAACAAGAAATGGGATTAAGTAGGAGTGCTAAAATTTCTCAACTTGCATTTGGTAAGAGAATTTAAGACAATATTAATTTTAAAAGGGGGAAACAATTTAGAGTATTTAGGCTGGTTGTTGGGTGTTATATCTGATTCAGACTGATCTAAGTATTGATAATTTTGAAGACAGTGAATCTGAGAGTGATGTGATCTCTCCAAGCTTCTCTTTCTTGGCTGCACATTCTATTAGTGGTGATAGAACTTCCTGGTAGTTATCCTCCATTTTATCATCTTCCTTTTCCTTTTCTAGAGCTCTTTGATTCCATGTGCCCCATCTCTTTTTCATTACTATATCTTTTCTTTCTATTATGGTGATGGAGTCCAACTGGTATGCCAAGCAATAAATGGCATGGGGTAATGCTCCTTCATATCTTAAGAATGGGACCAAAATGTATTCCAGAGTGGAAGGTGTTTTTGAATAGTAGTTTACAACTGGTAGTTTTTAAAATCGCTGACATGGTTTTAATATGGCCGTGGGGGGTCACCAGAATTTAACTTGTAAAGGGGTTGCGTATTCAAGAAGGTTGAAAAACACTGATCTAAAGTATATGTAGTGTATTTTTCCATATTGATAGGAATAATTCTAAGAGAGGATATATACTTTTTAGAAATATCTTTTAAAATTAGATGCGAATCGTAATCAGAAAAATTATGAAGAACTACGGGAATAAAAGGTTTTAGATTTAAATTTAAATTACATCCTTGACACGCTACCTGTCGAAACGTTCCATCTAAATGATTATGATCAATTACACTTACATCATTAGGGGAAAACTTTTTTCCACAAATATTACATTTATCTCGATTAATAGAATTTGGAATTGTTTGAGGATCTAATGGAATATTCAATTTTACTTCTTTAATAAGACGTTATGATTGATGTTTTAAAGTTTCTAAAAAATTGTCTATAACGTCTAACCCGCAATAAAATTTAGAATAGATAATTGTTTCGTTTTTATCTAATATGACCAACGCGTAACAAATCAGTTTATGAATTTGTGTAATAGTACTGAAACTGGTATCTGTTGATTGCATTGCGTTACAAACTGTTTCTTTTAAACATTCGAAGTCGCAAAAAATGACAACAGGATGCTTAAGCATCTTATGAAATTCGTTAAATTTAAGAATGGAATTTTCGATACTAGGAACAGATAGTCTCTGAAATTTGTACATATTTCTTTATGTAAATTTAAACTCGATTCACGTTGAAATCCGTTTAAACAATTTTTACAATAGTAATAAAGAGACTTTTGTTTTTCGTGTAAAAGTCTGTTGAAATTTCGAATTAAAAAAATAATGATTTTGGTATAATAGTAAATTTGCAGTTTTACCAAATTTAAACTTACAAATTTAAACTTAAATGGGTTAGGGGGTGTTGGGTAGAACTTTATGGACCAAAGGGGGCGGTGGATCGAATGTTTGGGAATACTAAGAGGATAATTACTAAAACCAAAAAGTAAAGAATTAGTATACAAAAGTACACCGGTCAATGTCAAATACTGCTTTTGTCGTACCACTAGTATATCTGAAAGGACACGACAGGGCTGTTGTAGATTTTAAACGTTTCTCACCGTAGCTGTAAAAGTCTAAATATGTTAAACTTAATAGATTGTCCGTTTGTTTTCTAACTAATTCATTTTAGGAACAGGTGTCCACGGAAATTTCCAAAATTTACAACTTGTTGGTCACTCTCATTGAACTGGTAAAATTTTTGTCTTTATTACATTAATAATACAAAGAAATCAGTCTCCACTGTACTTGGCTAGAGATGGTTCGGTTAAGCTTTTGTTTAAGTAAAATTCGCTCCATCAGGGTTTTGTTTATGTCCCCAATTCCCTAATCGCTTATTTTTACTTTAGTAGTAGTTAAATAATTAAGTTGAAACCAGTTACTTTGTACTTGAATATTTGTAGTCTCAGGAAAAAAGTGGAAAGACAAATTTTTATGACAAAAGGATATATAAATCGTAAATGTAAGGAAAATAAATTCAAGAGATTTTTCTGTACCTCATGCATCTTTCTCATTTATTAAATTTAGTTGTAAATGATGCTGTCAAAGTAACAGTTAATTTTTTAACATTGTACAAGAATCACCTTAAACATGGGATATACGAAATCTAATATCACTGGTTTAACATTGAAATCTGTGAGTAATATAAAATTGGAGAGCAGAATAAAAATATTAAATATTTTAATGGATTTTTTTAACTCCTGTCAACTATACAGAAAACTGTCATAAAAACATACAGGTAAATTCTTATCGGTTGGGTTAAGTTATAAATCTACTCGCGACTCAATTAATTGGGCGAGGGCGGCTAAATATCTAGCAGGCGGGTGGCTAACAGCCCAGAATCGGTTCCAGATAGAATTGGAAGCTTTATTTGTGTAGCATCAACCCAAGGTCGTAGGCTTCCACTGGCTAAACCGGGTGAGGTTGGTGCTTTGTTTTGCGAATGCACGAATCTGGCTGTTTGGATGCTGACAATACAGCGCTTCCACTCTGCCACTAATATTTGAATATACAATAGCAATCTTATTTTTTTTTCATGTGTAGTATAGAAATTTGTAATGAGATACATAATGCAGTTATAATAAAATATTGGGTGATTATTTTCATATAATTAAAATTAATATGTATTTATTTTTTAGAAATACAAGGGAAGCGACGCATCCACCGCTTCCAATGACGGCATGCCACTGTTGTCTTCAAAAAAATGAGTTCGGCATTATTAGAAATCCAAACAATTATTTATTACATTTTACAAATAAGAAAAAAATTTTATACAGGATATGAAATATTAAATGAAGAGTGGCTCAAAATGGTAAGCTTATACAATTTACCATGTCATTTAAATAATTGATATTGTGATGATTATTTTTTAACCATCTTTCGCCTGATTACTATTTGATGAGAAATTTTTCCTGATTTTTAATTAATAATTATCTGNAGGTAATTATTTTTTTATATTTTAGTAAACAAAATATTTTTTTTAAATTTTAATTTGTAGAAGCTTCTCGTATTTTTTTTAGTAAAAAATTACTTTTTTTAAATTTTAATTTGTAGATTATCCGGACGAAGAATGGGTGTGGGAAAATATTTATATTTTTCAGTATGTTCCATCGATCTTATTAAAACCTCAAAGAATTAATAAAATTGAAAAAATATATATATATATTTTAAATACAACTTATACTTTAATAGATAAAGATATCATGAAAAAAATTAAAACTTCTGAATATTACGGAATTTTATATAGTGTTTCTAGGGATTGGGTGGTAGTAAGAGTAAATGACAAAGTGATTATTTTATTTGAAGTTGGTAAGGATTTTTTTATTTCTAGTATCATTGGATACAGTTGATTAAAAAAAATGGTAAGAAAAAATATTTCTACGGTTTTTGGATATATGCGGTTTAATTTAATATTAGTTTTTTTCTTTTCAGATTCAATAAAAACACTTTTTTTAGTTTTTAAAAGAATAGACTTTTTATTTGAGTGAACTATTGCTACATTGATTGCATTTAATTTTTATATTGGATGGGAATTCACCCAAATGGAAATAAGTACGTATAAATCTTATTACAAAATCTTCATTGAATATTTTAGTATTAGGCTGTAATATTTTTATATCTTGATTTCTTGATATTTTATAGAGAAAATACAGACAAAATTATCCACAAGTAAAACTATACAGTGGTTATAAAGTGTTTTGATTCCAACATAAATTATTCAAATTTCGACAAATAAATTTTATGATTGATAGAATTTTCGGAGGTAAACCATATGAGTCAAAGTAGAAGCATGTAGAATCTTGAAAAAAAATTGCTATCCAATGCTGACCTGGCTTTAGACTGTTATTGGTATTAACTATAAATCCTTTCTTCTTTCTGATTTTTTGAGGTAGTAAATCCGACGAATAAATGCCTCCAAATGTCTTGCTAATTTTGGGATCTCCTAATGCTAATTTCCATAGGGTATCTCTTATCCTTTGTTGCTCAAACACTATTAAGTTAAGTGTGACAAATTTAAACACTGCATTTTTTCATCTTTATTTAGTTTATACTCTTTGTTTCATACCCTTATTCGCTTAGAGATTTGCAAATGTGTCTCATGTCATGGAAGACTTCATTAGTCTTGAATGGAAAGTGTAATTGTTTCTACAGGATGCTGGTCATAACTTTGTTTTTTGTAACTTTTTTGTCTGTTAGTAGTGATTCTATTGACATCCACAAATCTTTCATTAATAACATTTTCATGTTAAATTGCCACAAAAATGAATTGGAGGATCCTTCCAGTTATTCAATAGTTATCATCATCTGAATTGTTGCATCTTGTCACATTTTTTGTTCTTATTCAAAAACTCACTAAATGAATTTAAAACCTAATCACAGGACTTTCATAGAATTTAGAATTTGTCATATTCTGGGCCCATAACCTTTCATAGATTGTTGATTAGTTCAAAACTTTACACGAACAAAGTATACTACAGTAGTGTGCATACATTTCTTAAATGATACAATAAAATTACGTTGCAACGGGAAGGACAATATTTTTAATGCCCATGAAAATTTTTTCTAAATGGAATGAACTTTCCAGGCCCTATATCTCCAAGCCAAAACTTTGATTATTTGTTATTATTAGGTTGTTTGGAAAGTAAGTTTGTTTTTTTTTTACCCCTAGACGGATTAGTCATATGTTTCTCTCCATTTTCATTCTAAACCATATTATCTATATATATATATTGACAGCTAGCATTTTAAGGCTTATTTGTAAAAAATTTTGTTTGATTTTGTGCAATTGTTTATTTTTTGTGTCCCATCAAACATAGAAGATCGAAAGCATCATTTTCGGCATATTTTGCTTTTTTATTACCAAAAAATCAAAATGCCTGTTCAAGCAAGGAAAAAATTGTGGTATATGTATGGAGATGATGGGTTGACAAACGACTGCCAAACTGGTTTACAAAATTTCGTTCTGGCAGTTTCAAAGTTTTTTCATTGGCTTCAAATGCTCATCCAGAACGTGGTGTATCTTTGTGCAAGATGCACCACTTTCTGGGTGGCCATTTGAAGCCAATGAAAACAAAATAAAGGCACCGATTGAAGCAAACTGTGGAATAACAGCACGTGAAATCACTAAGAGATTAAATTTGTCAAATTGAACTGTTTATGATTACTTGAAACAAATTGGTTTAGTTTCAAAGCTCAATATATGGGTTCCATGTGCTCTTAAAGAGAGATGCTCTGTTTGGTGGGATATTAAGGAAATTTTTTTGGAGCTTTTACCAGGCAATTTAACAATTGATTCGAAAGTGTACTGCCATCGAATAAACAAATTGAGTAATATCATAAAACAGAAAAGGCATCCAGAATTGATCAACAAAACAGGTGTAGTGTATTACCACGATAATGTCAAATTTCACACAAGTTTGGTAACTGGTCAGAAACTGTTATAACTTGGATAGGACATGCTATCACTCTAACCATATTTGCCAGATCCAGCGCACACTGATTATTACTTGTTCAGGTCTATACAAAGACATTTACTTGAAATGACAATGTCAAAAATCACTTGGATCAGTTTTTTGTAAGCAATGATAAAAACTTTTATGAATGTGAAATCATGTTGCTACCAGAAACGATGACAACAGGTATTTGACCAAAATGGTCGATATATAATTCAATAAAACATTTATTTATTACAAAAATATTGTTTTTTTCCCACGGGAAAAAAACAAACTTACTTTCTGAACAACCCAATATATTAATTTCAAAAGTATTAGAAATGACAGAATTGTGCATTGGCTAGATTTGATTTACAAACGATCTGTAGTTGATGTCTGTGAAATTGAATGCTTTCTTCAAATATTAGAATGTGATGATTTATTTGACCTGGACAAAGTTTTTCTTTTGTGGCAGGAAATGTCATAGTTACACTGATGTATTTTAAATGATAAATATGTTCTATTTTTATATATTAAAAAAATACTGATATCGTTTTCTTTGTTTTCAGTTTGAGTCAGTTTTTGAGAATGGAAAAAATTGAAGATGAAAGATTTTATCTTGTATTTGGATACTTCAACACCATTTGGGATTAAGTTGATTGTACTTTCCAGACTTATGCAATTGTATTGATTGATGTATGTAAATAGTCACATGTATTACCTATGTGACCTTTATTACCATGAATACCTGTCATATTTTTTTTTGTTAATAGAAAAAAATATATTTGGTAAAATATATGTAATAATAAGTAAATAAATTCAATTTATGATTAAATCCATGAATTTAATATAATCAAAATAATTTTTATCTGCATTTGTGATAAATGACACTCAGATGCTTACAGTTAAGAAACATTTCATATTTTTTGTTCTTACAATTAATAATTTACATATTTTCCTGTAGATTACAATGTAGAACAAGCATTACGGGCTGCACTTTAAAATACTGTGTACTTTTGAAAAGCTAGTAATCATAGCAAGACGACAGATTAAGTAGCCTATACTGTCCATCAAAACAGTGGTGAGCAGTAACATCTTTAAATGACAAGTTGCATAGATGGTTAACTCTCATTGGATAATGGGATGTCCTGAGCCATTTTAGTCAACATGCCACAGACTTGTTTTCAGATTGTTTCTCTTGTCATACTTGAATGATGATAAACCTGAATTTTAGAAATCTACCCCCTTGTGTCTTTTTTAAAAACATTGCAGAAGTGACATGATGCGCCTGTATTTTAAATTTACTGGAACAAATTTAGAAATAAATTTAAAAAATAGCTGCATTGTGTTGCTTCAACAGATTCTTTTACACAAGGTACATAACGAACAAGGTAAGGACACCAATGTTTCCTATGGAGCTGCTATTTTGGATTCACAATTCCAAGGTCATGGTATATATTTCATGCTTAATGCTATGTATGTATGTGCAGTAAATTACACATTCTTTTGAGTTTGAGCCAGGGGATTCCTTTTATAATTTCAAAGAGTCTTCATTTAGAGGTTACTCTGACACACAATTAAAGGCTTTAATAAGATAGGTTTCAAAATAAAAGGCTATGTGAATGGTTCATATAATAAAGTATGAGTATAAAATTATTTAGTTTTGATATGCAAAATTAGAGAAGAAATTTGGAGATATTTGTTAAAAAAAAGTAACTTTCAAAAGTGTTTGAAAGAGATGATAATTTCCATTATTTAGGAACTTTCTTATGCATATAAACTAAATTAATTTATTTTTATAGAGAATTAAATAAGTATATTTATAAAAAATTATTAAACAGTAGACGATACGAACAAATAGAAATATATAAATTTCAAGTTTAAAATGATTCTAATAAATAATTCTTTAATAATGTGCAATTTGTACTGTTACATTACTCTTGAATTATTATGAAATTAATTTAAAAGACTGAAAGTTTTAATATCAATTACTATATTTTATTTTAAATTTTAAAGTGTATTTTCAGTACACAAACAACAAATAACATTTATTATCTTCAATAAATCTTATTCTGTTTAATAAGTTACATAATGATGATATACAACCTGTCACAAAACTACCACGAACAGTCTATATACTAGCACTGATCTGAGAATCATGTTTTAATATATGTAATTTAAAACCACTAATGATGCATACTGCAAACATTTTATAATAAGTGTTAAATATTAAAACAGTTTATTATATGCTGGATTTTTGTTTTCGTCTAACAATATAAAATTTTTAAAAGAAATCTCTATTAGTAACCTGATACTGTATTTTAAAATTTCACTAAAACTGTTACTTCAGAAAATGCAACATGCTCATACTGAATGATAGTATATGCAGAAAATAGCATTATTTGTATCAAAATATTAATTTATAAAAGCAATAATAATTATGAAATACAAACTAAATTTCAGTTGAAGTTTTATTATTGAGTAAATTCAAGCAGTCTTGTATGGCTGATGTTCCTGGTAAAGGAAAACATCAACTAGAAGAGGATAATAATTTTATGTAGTTTTCTAAGCAAGTAATCATTTATTAAAATATTATATTACAAATCTCATATGGCAGAAATCTTCACAATAACAATTAATTTCTTATGTGTTTCTGTGATAAATATTTTTTTTACATNTTATTGAGCCGCAATTTGAAAAAATTGTAGATTTGTAAATTTTCACTGTCGTTTGTCTTTTTGTGCGTCTGTCTTTCTATATTCACCGCTGCCAACTGGAAGTCATGTTATTTCAATTCAAACATTTTTTTTTCTGAGAGGTGTTATATACATGGGCAGCACGACTTTATTGTTAAAAGAAAAGTATGATATGATGTACAGGGGCAAGCCAATACTAATTTGAGGTGGAGAGCATATATTTTAAATTAAATAAATTAAAAATANAATTATTTAGTTTTGATATGCAAAATTAGAGAAGAAATTTGGAGATATTTGTTAAAAAAAAGTAACTTTCAAAAGTGTTTGAAAGAGATGATAATTTCCATTATTTAGGAACTTTCTTATGCATATAAACTAAATTAATTTATTTTTATAGAGAATTAAATAAGTATATAAAAAATTATTAAACAGTAGACGATACGAACAAATAGAAATATATAAATTTCAAGTTTAAAATGATTCTAATAAATAATTCTTTAATAATGTGCAATTTGTACTGTTACATTACTCTTGAATTATTATGAAATTAATTTAAAAGACTGAAAGTTTTAATATCAATTACTATATTTTATTTTAAATTTTAAAGTGTATTTTCAGTACACAAACAACAAATAACATTTATTATCTTCAATAAATCTTATTCTGTTTAATAAGTTACATAATGATGATATACAACCTGTCACAAAACTACCACGAACAGTCTATATACTAGCACTGATCTGAGAATCATGTTTTAATATATGTAATTTAAAACCACTAATGATGCATACTGCAAACATTTTATAATAAGTGTTAAATATTAAAACAGTTTATTATATGCTGGATTTTTGTTTTCGTCTAACAATATAAAATTTTTAAAAGAAATCTCTATTAGTAACCTGATACTGTATTTTAAAATTTCACTAAAACTGTTACTTCAGAAAATGCAACATGCTCATACTGAATGATAGTATATGCAGAAAATAGCATTATTTGTATCAAAATATTAATTTATAAAAGCAATAATAATTATGAAATACAAACTAAATTTCAGTTGAAGTTTTATTATTGAGTAAATTCAAGCAGTCTTGTATGGCTGATGTTCCTGGTAAAGGAAAACATCAACTAGAAGAGGATAATAATTTTATGTAGTTTTCTAAGCAAGTAATCATTTATTAAAATATTATATTACAAATCTCATATGGCAGAAATCTTCACAATAACAATTAATTTCTTATGTGTTTCTGTGATAAATATTTTTTTTACATCTGAAAAAGCAGTGTTTAATTAATGTCCTAAAAAATTTGTTTAAGAAAGCTTCTAAAATGTAAGTAGATCATGTTTTTTCCAAATGTACATTAAGAAAGTTGAGTACATTATCAAACAATAAAATGTCACCTTGGGACAAAAATCTGTAAGGCAGCATTTGTTCAATTATTCACGATGAAAATTTATTATTCAATTCTAATAAATCTGGTTCCTGGTTATATTAATCATTAATAAACCATTACTTAAATCAACTCTTAAAATCCACTCTCCTTGATTTCTACGATGGAAAACGAAACAATCTTATACCTTTGGCTGTCGAATTTGTATAGTTCGGTGCTGAATAACAAATCATTTTTAATATATATATATATATATATATATAACATAAAATCCAACTAATTGAGATGAAAAGAAACAGTCAGCTTCGTTCTAGAAACACCGTACACAAAAAAAGGGATCCAACATTGCAATCGCCATGATCTATCACAGTATGGTGTCTTGACCTTGTTTAAAGATCTTACTTTTGCGTTATTTGCCAAAATATAAATGCAACTTAAACGAAATCGATGAAATCTTTCGTTTTTAAATAGCTAACATTTCATTATGGTTAAGTATGTTCATCGTTGATGATAATTGTACAAATTTACAAAATTTCGGTTCATCATTCAATGTGATAAAAGAAACTAACGTGAAACAGGAGCCGGTGGCGCAATGGTAGCGCGTCTGACTCCAGATCAGAAGGTTGCGTGTTCGAATCACGTCTGGCTCACTTACTACTTTTATTTTTATATATCATTATGCTTTATAGTACAGCTCAGTTACACGTCTAATGTTAAATACAACCATCAAATTTCTTTACATAGAAGTCACAAATATGAACAGTAAAAGCGTGGCAATGTGTAAACAATAATTTCAAAATACACACAAGATAAATAAAATTTGCAGCTATGACCCGTGTTTTCCAATAAAAAACGAATATTCCAATAGAATATGACCATTTACAAATATTACCGAATACGATTAGCTGAAAACTAGTACATTTTGCACTTTGTTAACTTCACACTGCAAAACCCTTGCCTGGACCACATAACCTCCCTTCGGACAATGTCCAATCTCAAATAGGTACGTGATCCCATAAAATAATACTGAAAGTAAGATTACAATTCTCTCTCTCACCTGAATTCGCTACTATTTCCAGATGGCAGTGAATTACTTTGAAAGAAAAATATTTATATGCTCCAAGTAAATTTAAAAAATTAGCAATACAACAAGGTATAATTGTTTCCGTAAACAAATCATTTTCGAATGTCACTCGAAATGTCTTATGTGCTAATCGTAAAATTTATCAAATGGCTATTTTTAAACCTTATAATATAATGCAGATGGGTTGATAATAATAATAATAATAAGCGCAGAACTCCAAACGATCAGGAGTTGAAAGTTGAAATTTGGTACACAATTAGAGTGTGTCATGAGAATGCATACTAAGAAGAAATTTTGGAAATTTTTCCCGAGGGGGTGAAAGAAACAATTATGGATTATTCTGAAGAACTCTGCTTTACTGTACTATTTTATATACTTTTTTGCTTATGAGTTTTTAAGGGAAATCGAACATACTTTTAAACTCGGCTAAAAATTTTCTAATAACTCTGAGAAAAGGAAAAACTTAATTTTTGCACGCTGTAAAAAGGGTAAGATCAATTATATAACTATAAAAGTTACCGTATATAAGGGTTTATCACACCGAATGACCAATCTAACATAGATTATTAAAAAATTTTTATTCCTCTACTGTACACGATTTTTAAAATGTGTTGAATTCGGCACTCGGTATGATAAACTCTTACGTAAGATAACCTTTGTAAATATAAATTAAATACTGTACTATAATATAATATAGAGTTAAAAGTACGAAACAATCTTAATCTTTGCTGCTGTTATTTTTTTGTCCGAGCAACGCTAAGCTCATCTGCTAGTTTAGTATAAATTCCAATAACCTTTGATTCATTTGCTGGACGAGTCCAAAATTTTTAAAACTCCTTCAGGACGATCTTCCGAAAAATTTCTAGCGATTTTTCGATCTGTCCAGATTCGATCCTGGCTCCCCAGAGCAGTAGGCTTTCCCCTTGACAGTTCGGCAATCCAGCACATAGGATTCAGTGGAGTGCGGAGTGTGCGTACTCACTCCCTGAAATCTTCAAATTTCAAGTAGAAAAGAGTTTTCCATAATACAACTACAGTGCAGAGGATATAGATATTGATATGAAGCGCACCCACTAAATGAAATTCCAGCATCTGCCTCTGATTTGCTTACGGCAACGCGAAACATTGGCGATCCCGCGAAAAGGAATGTCCCCATTACTACCTTTATGAGAAACTACACTCTATTTCAGTGTTGGTAATGTGAACCTAACCCAAAACAAATCTTGGCCAGCCGGTTGGCGAGTCCCGAACCTACGATTTTATCTACTCGTCGCTCACTTATGGACAGAATTCTAAATAGCCTGGAATGTTTGGTAATGCGACACCCTGTGAAAACTATTTTAAAACCTTAGTAACCCATAAATGAGAACTAATAATTAGTATTATTAAATACAGAAA